ATTTCACAAAGAAGGATGTTTGTTAGATACAGGAACCAAATAAACACGTGTGCATGCACACATAGCCCTTTCCATAATTGGAGATGCAGCAAATACCATTAAGTATCAAACTTCCTCTGCTCAGGGGTAAGCTTTCAGTCTTGTTCCAAGGTATGAATGAATAGTACAGGAATGGAAAAGGATACAAGGCACTGGTTTGACTGCATTTGGGAGATGTTCTTCAGGAAAGTTCTTGCCCAAACCTAAATGACATGAATTCTCGTGGCAAGAGATTAGAGTGCACGGTGGATGACCTCTTTGCTCAGGGAATTCATGACACTCCAAGAGGTAAAATGAATGGAGGCAGAGCAGAGCAGAGCATATAAAGTCAGAATCTTGTGACTTTGGCCTGGGGAGTGTTTGATCTGGCAGAAGGCATTTTCCATGAGTAACCCAGTCCTGTATAGCACTTACGGGATCAAATGGCAGTATAAATTGCATCAGCAATTAACATCCTAATTCTCTTCCATGACCAATGTGAGGAAAAGTAACTCTGTTTCAGCCCTTCATAGAAAAATACTTTGTGCAGAGTCCTTGGGGGAAAAATTTTTCTAATCACAATCCCATGCCAAATATCTCTACAATTTTTTCAATAGTACAGCTAATCCTCTGCGCCGGCAAAAAAATTTTGGCCCACACTGGCAAAGGAGTTCTTAGGTAAAGAGGAAACACACACAGAAGTGTCATGCTATGCTTGACGCTGTGACTGTGGTGACAGGGTTTTCTCCAGCTGTTGGTTTCAGAAGAATTTCATTTTGTTTGATGCTGCACAGCTCCAGGGTGAGAAGTGGCAGCCAAGGGTTTTATCCTTTGTAACATCTTCATTGGTAACAGCAGTAATAAATTACCTCGAGGAAAGAGGGACTGAGTAAAAGGTAAACGTTGTAAAGGAGGGTCTTTATATGAATATCTTCTATTACTTCCTCCAGTTGGACTTGAATTCTTGAGTGGTAGGAGTTCTGGATGTTGGAAAGGTAGGGAGATGCTTCCATATCTTCTCCGCATGTTGATCACATGAGACATCCAATCTTCACGTACAGTTTCCTCATTCTCTTCTCTGGGCTGGGTCATTACCTGCCTAACAGCTCCCCCCAAGCAAGTACAAATTGTGTCTCCAGGTCTATACAATGAGAAGGTGACTTCTTTTCAAGGGCCATGGAGAAATTCTTCACGTCAAAGAGAGTCTCTTTCAGAAAATAATAACAAGATTTCTCAACACTCAACAGGACACTAGCTCTGTGGTATGATAATATACATAGTGAAAAACTTAAAGGTTTCTTGATCAAATTTTAGTTTGGAGAACAGCAGTTTATGTAAAATTAATCAGGTTTCTTTTTTTGTTTCTGGAGCCTTATTAAGATGATGTATATTGTGAAATTTCAAAGGAAAAAGAAAATAGAGAGTTTCCTGAGTTTATTTCATCCAAGAAGTTTTTGCTATGGACCTAGATAGTTTCATGAAACATAGATTTTTGGAAAAAGCTAATGGAATCAGTTAATCCTCAGTTTTCATGTCTAAGGAGCAAATACAAAAATGAAAAGTGTTCACAAGAGGCCCAGTAAACTGGCACTCTGATCAGAGTCCACATTCTTGGTGAGGAGATTAAGCCTAATTATGTTTTAGCAGAAAGATAATTTAATTCTTGGGCCTATGAAGAACGTAGCAGTAAAGGTTGCTCACTGACCCGTGGCAGAGATGGGCTGTGGGATTTGTGCAATTCCTGCCTCACTGTGGGAATTCTCCTTTCTCTCCTCTTTAAGAAAGGCAATGCAAACGGGAAAGAGTGGTGTGATTTCAGATATAGAACTTATAATCATCTGTAAAACATGAAATAATTATTCAAAAAGGTTGTACTTTGCTGTAGAACGACACCTTACAATTGAGCATCATACTCCAAAATGACCCTGTCAGTGGTCCAGAGGATCCGGAGTGGATTTGTAGCCGATGAGTATGTGATGCAGGTGAGCACATGTGCCAGAGCTCTAGACTGGAGAGCTGGGAGGAGAGTCCAGAGAAAGAAGAGAATGCATACTTCTTCAAAGTCTTCAGAGCTAGTAAGAATCTCAGAGACTGCAGTTCTTTCAAAGCTCCCTTTTTCTCATTTTATGGGTTCTTGGTTTTCAAATTATCACCAGCTATAGACACTGGAATTTGGTCTTGTGGATTTTTGCCTTGTGCGGTAGAGAAGTCTTTACCTGATATCTCAGATTTATTGCATTTGGAAAAATGTGACAAGCAGTTAAATGTCCTTTTGGGTACAAGATCAACCAGGACCAATGTTTTGAAAATATAAAACAAATGTGATAGACAGCTTAGCATAGTGATTATGAATATGTATTCTAGGGGTGCCTGGGTGGCTCAATGGGTTAAGCCTCTGTCTTCGGCTCAGGTCATGATCTCACGGTCCTGGGATCGAGCTCTACAACAGGCTCTCTGCTCTGTGCTTTTTATTTTCTCTCTTATACATCATGATACTCAAGTCATTTTTGTCTTGCCCCGTATATGTCTCTCAGGCTCCTTTCATCTTCTTCATAAAAACAAAATTGCTTTCTTTCCACAATTGCAAGCTTAATAGGGAAGACACATCTCAGTGTGTCCTCAGAGCTAGGTCTATGTGACTGTGTGGGGGAAGAGTTCTCCCCCACCCCAACTTGCAGCCAACAGGAGGTCATGAGTGAGAAGTGACACTTTTCTTGTTAAATAGTCAGTGTGTAGGGTGTTGCTGTTTTGGCAGAGAATGTTATTATTTACCAAATAAATACAAACCAAGATTGATTAGATTGCCTAGCTCACACTAACCAAAACCCAGGAGGGACTGTGATAGCTTGCAGAATGCCGGTTTATTCATTCATATTGACAAGTGTATCTGTCAGACAGATGAGGAAGGCTCCCATTGGTGTGATGCAGGCCTTCTGTCCTTGTCAGACTCCCTGGGAGCCAAACTTAATCCACAGTCACATTACCTGCTCGTCACCAGCAATCTCTGCTGAAGGACTGGAAACACATGGCATTCATGCAGAATACATTCTTCATCTGTCTGGGGGTCAGGGAGGAACGAGAACATCATTTGGCGAGGATAAATGCAGATCAAGAGCAATGAGATGCAACAAGATTTAATGGCAAAGAGCTAGGGTATTCAGAACCAACCATCTCTTAAGATGGCTTTCCTCATGTGTCTGCAAAGATTTTAAGCCTGTTAACTAAGATCCCCTACTACACACTTCTTAGATCAGCCCCACCACTTCTTGTTTCTCCTTTTCATGCTTTCATAGATGCTTCTTTTCCCTCTCCATCCCCCCTGGAAGGACACATTCTCTCACCAGCCGTGTCTGCTTGTGTAATCAGGGTATCATTCTGTGTCCTCTCACTGTGTGTTCATTTAAAGTTCCCTTGATTGCAGTTGGGGAGGGGAGTTGGAGAAACCTTTATAAGGCTTCCAAGGATGACCTGAAACTGGCACCATCTTAGTACTGGTATATAGAGAGAAGAATAAGGTAGGCACTGCCTTCTAGGGACTAGCAGCCCAGTAAGGGACACAGACAGGTAAGCACATAATACCGAGGCTACACCATGGTGTAAGTACAACCATAAGAGCAGATACAAGAAACAGCTATAGCATGCAGGAAAGCATGATTAACTCTTCTTTGTCCGTGGGCATAAGAGGAAATGAGGGAAGGTTTCCTGTAGGAGATGATTATTGAGCTGGAATAGTGATAGAGGTGTTCCAGAGAGAGGAAATACCATAACTAAGGAAAAAGACATAACATGGTGTGAGGTGTCCAGGAAACTATAATGAGTTAGTTACTTTGTGGGGTGAGGGTGTGGGGGGCATATGAGAGGAAGGAGTGAAGCAGTCCTGAGGAGGAGGTGGGCATTCATTTTTGCCATGAGAGGCCTTTAAGTAAGGCCTGCTGTGACAAAGTACCACAAACTAGATGGCTCACCAGAAGTTTATTATCTCACACCTCTGGAGGCTAGAAGTCTAGGAACAAGGTGTCAACAGAGTTGGTTACTTCTGAGAGTCATGAGCAACTGTCTGTTCCAGGCCTCTCTCCTTGCGTCTACGGCAATTTCCTTGGCTTATGGAAGCATCACCCTCATCTCTTCCTTCATCTTCACGTCATGTTCACATTCTCCCTGTTTGTGTCTGTGTACACTTTTCTTCTGTGACACCAAATTCAGTCCTTTTGAATTAGGGCCTACATGATATCCTCACTTTAACTTGGTTATCTCTGTAAAGGCCCGATCTCCAAATAAGGCCACATTCTGAGGTACTGAGGGTTAGACATTCTACGGAGGAATTTTGGAGGAAGACACAGTTCAACCCATAACAACCTGTGTTTAAAAGACAATTAAAGAAAAAGAACTATAGAAGGATCAACCAGGAAAGTAGGAAGAGAATACAGTGTCTAAGGAGAGCAGGAGGTGGGACCATCTGCTGATGGCTCCTTAAGGGCAAGTGAGTGGAGGCACCAAATCCCAGCTCTGTCTTTTGCACACTATTCATGTGCTTCTCATGTTTCTCATTGCAAGATATGGGTAATATTTCTTCCCCACAGGGTAGCTCTAAGGATTAAATATGACTATGTACATAAACTCCGAGCACATAATGGGCATATGTACATGTGTACGTAAATAGTAGTGTAAAAAGTCACACCATCGTGACATCTTTAATATGCACAGGCTACAGAATGCCAAAGGGGTCCTAGACTTATCCATTTGCTCCCCAGATACACTACATCATTTAAAGGCTGACACCTTGGGGGGCTGCTCTTGTCTCCCTCTATATGTAGAGCTCATTAAATTCCGTATTTGCTTCATGTGACTGAAAACCTGTGGGAATATACAAGTACAAAGAGTGTGAATTATGGCTGTGAAACAGGATTTTAAAATATTCCCCTCTTATACTTTCTGTGGAAATTAAACATCTGATTTGACACCTCATGAATCTTTCTCTCCAGGTTGTTTGGTTTGGATTTCAGATGGTGACTGACCAGCCCAGGGGAGCCAACAAAAAACTGCCTTGCTCTGTGCATCTAGCGGACGGCATCTCCAAGAGGTAAGTTCCCATTCCTTGATCATTCCTACCACTGAAGAGATACCACGATCCTTCATTTAGCAGAGTGTCACCTTTTTTTTTCCCCTGATACAGTTGAGTTTAGATGAAAACGAGTTTAGATGCTGCAAAAACTCTCTTGAGAGACTGTATTTTCTATATTCGTAGCACATTCAAATGATGCTTCAAAAGAACATCTGTATCATGACTGAGTGTGTTAAATCAACCTAGGCCTGTGTCTAGCTCTCAAAGTCTCCCACTCCACATCCTTGCACTACTGCTATTTTGCTGGTATGGTTAAGAAGCCATGAAAAGGAGACTGATTCTGGTGAAATTCACGTGGACCTTATTTCTGAAAGATGCAAATATTCTGATTATGTCCATGTCTAAATATTTGTGAGATATGGCACTCCATATAATTTTTTTTTTCTTTTGAAACAACTTCACCATATTTTCTGTCAGTCCTTATCCTTTTTGTTGGGAGAGTAGAACCACCCTTTTGTTTACTCATCCTTAACTACTACAGGCATATCGACAAGCAGCTTGTTTGGAACAAAAGAAAAATTCCCAGGTGGTGCCAGAAAAATTCCTCAGCTACCCCCATCACTGCTGCTATTTGTAATAGGCTGGAGAAGACCAAGATGCCTGGAGAAAATCTTACATGTTAGTTTCTTTAGCTCTGGGCTTCTGAGTCATGGAACATCAGGCCAAAGAAATGCACCAGTCAGCATTGATCTGTTTCTTCTGTCTCTCACTCTGTTCCTCTCCCTCCATTCCTTCTCAGTGAGGCCCTCATCCTCCCATATGGATTCTTGTAATGGCCTTGGAAGGATCTCTCCTCCATGTCAACATCATTGTTAACTTAAACTCTTAAGGCCCACCACTTCCCTTGGGATTCTTGACCCTCACTGGTCTCCACTGCCCTCAGAATAAAGTCCACACAGCCTTACATCTCTCTCAGGGTCTTCACATCTGTCCTCAAACTATAATTTCACACTCTTGTTCCTTGACAGTCTTCATATAATATTTGCTTTAGCTAGACAGAATTGCTTTCGTATAGACATATGTACCATGGTGGGTGCTTGATTCATTCTCTCCCCTCTGAGTGGAACACAGGACCTATCGCTCTCAGGGCTTGGCCTACTTCCTCCATAAAGGTTTTCCTGAGGGCTTTACTCAGAAGGGGTGCCCTCTGTTAATTCTTGTAGCCCCATCTCCGAGGGCTTATTTTGCTTTCTACGTGATACCATGTTTATTTGTGTATCTGCTCAGCTCCTCTCTAGATTGTGAACTTCCTGAAAATAAGAGATGTGTCTGACTGATGCCCCCAAAGTATCTGACACAGCTTCTGACACGCACAGCAAGCAGCTTATGAATGTCTGGGAGCCGGGCAATGGGACAGATGTGGGGTCAAGGAAGACTTACAAGAGGTTCTTCCAGCATCTAGCAAATTTTTACATATTGTGGCTGCTGAGTTTTCTCAGCTGAAATTAATATGGAAACAGGAGTTTAGAGGGCAAATTACTTTCATATGAATTCAGACTTGCAGCTAATAAATGAAGTGAAAACCTCAAAAATCTTCATTGCATATTGTCTAGCCGGGGACAACTTCAACCACACTTTTATAAGCAACACTTCTATGCAGATCTGTCAGATAATTTACCCCCCCTCCCGTGACAGCCATCTTTTGCTTTCTCTCATATATTCTTAGTACAGTCCCCATGGTAATAAAACTTTACTCAGAAAGCAAGAAGAGCGTGTGAAGGAGGGAGAGAGGTGAGCAGTATTTTTCCGTTGGACTTGTCCTACCATTGCTTCAAGTTCATTACTTGCATTTTACCTTTGTTTTGGTAAACAAATTGTTATCAACTGTTTTGTTTTCTGGAAGCTCCGCTGAAACGCATTTTACAGTAGCTCATAGCTCTCAGTGTTCTCATTTCCAAAAATCGACTCTTATTTGGGACTTCATGATTCTTTCCATGGAAGTCAGAGAGGCCTCATTTAGTTGGTATTCCCTTCTAGCTAGGTTTCCAAGGAGAGAATTGGCTAACAAGAGCAGCAAATCAAAGCAAGCACCCTGGGTTCTGTGTTATGCACATGTGTCTCTGTATATGGGTACACCTGTGTATGCGTGTGCATATACATATGTGTACACACACATGAGTGTGTGTGTGTGTGTGTGTGTGTGTATAAAAGAAAGAGAAAAACTGAGAGAAAAGGAAAACAAAGGGCTTTGGGGCATCCTTTAAATTGGACCATATCCAGCATTGTGCTGCCTAACTTTAGAATCCATGATGGGAAGGCACTAGGTGGAGGTTATTTTTTTTTTTTTTTTTTTTTTTATAATTTTATTTTTTATAAACATATATATATATATTTTTTTCCCCCAGGGGTACAGGTCTGTGAATCTCCACGTTTACAAACTTCACAGCACTCACCATAGCACATACCCTACCCAGTGTCCATAACCCCCCCCCAACCCCCCTCTGCCCAGCAACCCTCAGTTTGTTTTGTGAGATTAAGAGTCACTTATGGTTTGTCTCCCTCCCAATCCCAACTTGTTTCATTTACTCTTCGGTGGAGGTTATTTTAACCTGGTGGTGAGCTCTGAGGCATGAACACAGTGAAGGAGGGAGAAAACGGTTGGAGATGCTTGTGATGGGTTGACAGTCTGAGGCACCCACACCCACTCCTATGCCAGGTGCCCCCAGTTACACGTCTGCTGCCGCAGTAGCCTTAGAGCTGGGGTAACAGCAGAAAGGGCATTTGTGAAGCTGCTAAATGCTCGTTCCTTTGCCAGTTGGTAGCATGTGTGTCCTGTGTGTTGCATGAAAGAATTAACATTGTCCACAGTTTAGTGGAGTTGCAAAGGATTTTATCACGTGTGCTCACCTGAATGTTGAATATACCACTGCCTGATATGAAGAAGCCACCAGCTCTTTAGTCGAGTTTCTTGCGAAGTTTATGAAACACTAAATCCATTTCATTTCAAATGACTTGAAGCAATTTTTTTTGTTTGCTTGTTTTGTATGAAGTTTCATAACTGAAGTCTTGAGAAACATCTCTAAGATTAATTGGTGGCAGTGATAAAGGTGTGAGTGTGGCATTCTAAGTTATTTACAAAAGAGGGTTTTGTACATTTTTAAAACCATGATAGCTAAAACTATGCTAATGGTGTTAGCTTAATATTAGAAGCCTGGAGTTAACGATGCATTTGGGAAAGACAGAGCTTATCATTCACATATCTTCAGTCTCAAGCACCTAGATGCCAATATTTTAAAATATAAGAATAGAGTGGTACAAAGTGATTCTTTCCTTTAGATGTCATTTTCTCCAAAAAAGATTTGTAATGAAGGTAATAACTTGTTTTTTTTAATAAGCCCTTAAAAGATATGTTTTTTAAAAAAATCATATTTTTACAATTGCTCTAGCATTTCAGAATTATTGCATATCAGATATCTCATTTTATTCTTGCAAAATTGTCTAGGACAGATTTTCTCATTCCCATTTGACATCAAGGAAACAGATGCCAGATAATAAGATAGGGCTAGATTATAGATGTTTTGATTCCCCATTTTTGTGTTATTTTTGCTAGCTCATAAAAGAAAGGAAAAAGAAATTGTAATAGCTGAAAAGTCCTGGCAGAGGTCCACATTTTCCAAATGTAGATATGATGCTACTAGTTCTAATGGATAGCTTAGGGGTTTAAGTTCAAATTCTTTCTCTTTTTTTTGATCATTTTCTGGTGATAGTTTTGGTAGTCTAACATAGTGATAATAAATTCTTAAAATTTAAAATTCCTTTAATAAAACAGCAAAAGAAATTGTTTTAACAAATAAACTTTTATATAAATAAATCCCAGCTATACTTTAGAACTTACTGGATAATACTAATTGATAATAATAAGCTATTATCAATCATAGCTTAATTTAGCCCTCAGATTTTCTCCAGATTTTTATTAGAATTTCCCCTCTTAGTCAAGTTTTTAAAGATATATTTATTTATTAGAGAGAGAGAGTGAGAGCATGCAAGTGATGGGAGGGACAGAGGGAAAAGGAGAGAGGATCTCAAGCAGACTCTGCTGAGCAAGGAGCTGGACATAGAGCCAGATTTTAGGGCCCTGAGATTATGACCTGAGTTGAAATTAAGTGTTAGACACCTAAGTGACTGAGCCACCTAGGTGCACCCTTTTAGTCTATTATATTAATTTAAATGGAGCATTCTCCTGTCTAGGGTAGCCTTAGTCTCATACTTGAGGTTACTTTAGCTTTAAGATTCTTCTTAAGATATATCAATGTGTTAGATTGGCAAAACTCTGAAGTGGTAAGTTTGCGAGTCTGTTTGTTTTCTTTTTTGTTGTTAACTTGGATTTCCTCATTATTATTATTATTATTTTTTTACAATGGGAACATATTGTACTTTTATAACAGGAAGATATTTTTAATACCATTTTAGATAAATGAAATTATAAATGGGAAAAAGTAAGGGAGGAAAAAAGAAGATGGGAAAGAGAGACCAAAAAAAGAAGGAAAGGTAGGAAGGAAAAAAGGAAAGAGGGAAGGAAAGAAAGAAGGAAGGGAAGAAGGGAGAGAAAGAAAGAAGAAAAGAAAACAAAACAAAACAAGAAAAAGACTCTAGCCCAGGCTTTAAGAAGTACATTATTGGGTGGCTATGATTATTTCCTTAAGGTCACAGGGCCAGACCACATCCTTGTCTGAAAGTCATGTTCCATAAAGGAACACATGCTCCCACTGTCAGCCATCTTGGGAAGAAGCTAATTCTGGATCTGAATATGGGGTTAAGGTGAGCCTAACCTGTAAGATGTGGAAATGCTTAGGGAGTTCTGATGACTGATGTTTGAAATAGTCCCCACCACAGAAGGAAGGAGAATGGCTGTGAATTGGTCTCTATAGAGCCACTACATCTAGTAGCAGCTGAAGGCTGGAATATGCAGAAGCCCCCACTGGGCTAGATTGAGGATATATCTGCTACAGACTGGTGTC